AAGGAGAATCATTATTAAGAATCTTTCTAATACATCTATTGCCTCAGTTTTGGCATAGCCACTGATATTATGTAATTCTATAGAGGCAATAGTAATGTTTTCATAAAGATTTTTAAATAATATTTGATTGCAAATTGATTCATTAATGTTCAAGTATTTAAGATTTTTACTTGTTCTTTGAATTATTGCAATCAAAGAATAGGTGACAGCATTTTCAAGCTCGTCACCTGTTTCATATTGTTCATAATTAAGCCAATCCTTAACACCACCATATATCACTGTTAACAGCAGTGATATAACATATTCGAATAGTGGTGATTTTAGGTGGCTTTGGAAGGTAATATTAAATAGAATTAATAAGGCTTGTTCTTCAGCAATTAATGCTAACAGGAGAGTCCTTGTAAGTTTTACGTTTTGAAAGGTTGAATCGCTCCTGATTGCTTTTAGCTCGGCATCCATGATTGTTTTCAGCTCGGTATCCATGATTGCTTTCAGCTCATTTGACATTTTCAAAAAAAAATCTTCGAACTCCTTGATCTAAGTTACAAATTATGAGGAATAATATTGCACCATTTACGATTTACAAGTGCGCATGAAAATAAGATTCTGTAAATATGTCGGAAGCTATCAAAGATTATATAATAACTTTCAATAGGTAATGATCCATAAAAATGTCGCGGTCATGTGATCTCCGACCGTTTCCGGCCTATTAATAATAGATATATATGATCAATATATCAATTTAATATAATGTAAATGTTATCACTATTTGATCAGTATTAAATTCGGAATATAAAATGAGTCGGAAACGGTCGATGATTGCGTCACCGTGACATTTTTATGGCACCACTAACCTACCTCTTGTTATATTAATTGTTGAGTTTACAATATTTTCAATATTAATTGTTGAGTTTACAATATTTTCAATGATCTTGTGGTAAGTATATTTTGGCTTTTTCCAGCTGGTACATGGAAGTTCGAACTGATTTATCGATTTTTATAGGATCAAAAAGTCGCAGCATTCATGTTTGTATACTGAGCTCTACGAGCCAATTGTGCAATGAACTTTGTAGTTGACCAACCTGAACGTTGGTTTATGTTTTTATAGTACGAAATATAAAAGATCTTTTTGTAATTGCTGGAAGTCGTGGATTTGGACATACTGATTGTGCCAATATGAATATTTGAAGTCAAGAAAGGAAGTTATTTTTGAACCGTAAATTAGCTTTAAATGAATTCTTCAATAGCGTTAGAGTTAAAAAAAACATTTTATTAATCATCAATCTATCGTTATGCAGGATAAGTTCCACAGCATAATCATTATACGTATATATTTAATATTCAAAGATCTACCAAAGCATTCCTTTAAATTTTTTGTCACATTTATTACTTGTCAATATTGTGATACAGTATACTACGTTTGTAACAGCTTATAATAAAATGTCAAAAAAAAAGCAAATAAGTTCTACCGACACCTACATTGAGCGTATTAATGGAAAAATTAAATCAGTTAAACCGTCCTATGATCCAATTACTCCAAGATCGAATGATAATTTGGAAAAATGGAAGGAAAATTGGAAAAATTACAATCTAGAATTGCACGCTAAGATGTTCCAAGAAAAAATCAATTTGAACTGGATTGAATTTTGTAGCAGATTTTATTTATGTGAATCGTTGTATGATTCAATCAAAGGAAAGCAATTCTCTTCTCCTAAAGAGAAAAGTAAAGAAATAAACAAATCGATCAGAGAAACCATTCCAAATGCTGAAAATTTTTATTCAAATATTTACTCAATAACAACGCATTGGAGAAAATCATATGACAATTTGACTTTGATAATCGAAGGTATTTTATTAAGAATTTTATTCTGAAAATTCAAACTTTTTTGGTTAATTATTTTATTATTTAATTTAAGCTTTTGATAACAAGAAAATTCCCAGAGGAAGTATACTCGAAAAATTAAGATGCTCAAACATTACAATTAATTATTTTCAGGAAGCTGATCCTCAAGATATTGAGAAATTAACTAGTTGTTTAATGGAAAAAGATAACCAATGTATCAGTTAAACTTGGAAAAACAAAACTTTATTTGATAGTTGTTGTTTACGTAATTATTATTTTGAATTTTATATGTTTTATTTTTTGGAAAAATTAAAATATTATACAGTTAAGTTTCGAAATAATCATATTTTATCGAAATGGTTAATCTTTTATGCAATTATGATTTTGAACTTTATATTATTTTATTGAAAAAATACGTGATGATAATTCTTATAACCATGCAAATTTGTGATTAAAATGATTTCTTTATTGAATTCCTGACCATAAACATTCCGGGGTAATGAAGTCAAAAATTTTACATAAGAAAATTTACCTATAAATATTACGTAATACACTAGTAAAAATGACTGGATAAAAAAAAAAACAATTCATCAGCCAGAAATTATCGGCTAATCGATCATAATAAATCAAGATATTTAACTGCAACGTTCTTATCGAAAAATATTTCTGATATTCAGGTGTGGTCAATAGAGAATTATACAAGGTGGTCTAGCATTTCGTAGGGAAGTCGTACAAAATTTTAATTGGCGGAACCGGGTTATTTTATGTTTAAAATCGATTAAACCAGTTTTACTGATCGAATAAAAATAAAACAGGTTCCAATTCTTTGGACTCCCGAATAGACAATGCGAAGATTATATTTGGTGTTTACTTAAGTTTTCTTAGTCGTCATTCTGTTATTCTCTCATAGTGGCGAAGTAAAAAAGTTGTTTTTGAATACTTTAATTGGTATCTGGCATCACTAATGTTTTAATGCCTTAATTGGTTAAGTAAAAAACTTGTCTACAAGTAAATAAATTAGTATCTTTGCTAAAGTAGGCGTCAAGTAAATAAGTCTTGTCTTTCTGGAGAAGATCATTCTAATATTTCACGTTATCACAATTACTTTAATTAGCCAGACTTGTTTAGTTGATAACTCCTGAAAAGATCATACAAGGCGTTCTAACGTTTCATGTTATCACAATTACTTAATTAGTTAAAGGCCCGTTTAATTGATACTGTAACTCCTGTAAAGACTTGTTTAATTGATAACTCCTTAAACGATCACGCGAGGTGTTCTAATGTTCACAGTTATACAAATGGCAAGGCATTCTAGCATTTCACGCTCTAACATTTACTTAATTAGCCAAAGACTTGTTTAATTGATAACTCCTGAAAGATCACGATGATTATGCAAGGCGTTCTCGTTATCATCATTACTTTAATTAACTCGTGAAAAGATCATACAAGGCGTTCTAACGTTTCACGTTATCACAATTACTTAATTAGTTAAAGACCCGTTTAATTGATACTGGAAAGACCATGCAAGGCGTTCTTTATCATAATTACTTAATTGGTTAACGACTTGTTTAATTGCAACTCCTGAAAAGATCACGCAAGGCGTTCTAACTTTCACGTTGTCACGTTATCACTATTACTTAATTAGCTAAAGACTTGTTTAATTGATAACTCCTGAAACGACATTCTAGCATTTCACGTTCTATCATTTACTTAATTAGCCAAAGATTTGTTTAATTGATAACTCCTGAAAGATCACAAACGAATAAATCTTGCCTTTCGGAGATGATTATGCAAGGCGTTCTAACATTTTTCGTTATCATAATTACTTAATTAGCCAAAGACTTGTTTAATTGATAACTCCTGAAAAGATTATACAAGGCGTTCTAACATTTCACGTTATCACCGTTCTAATATTTCACGTTATCATAATTACTAAATTGGTTAACGACGCAAGACGTTCTAACTTTCACGTTGTCACGTTATCATTATTGCTTAATTAGCTAAAGACTTGTTTAATTGATAACTCCTGAAACGATCACGCGAGGTGTTCTAACGTTTCACAGTTATACAAATGGCGTGGCTTTCTAGCATTTCATGTTCTAATTAGCCAAAGACTTGTTTAATTGATAACTCCACAGTTATGCAAACGAATAAATCTTGTCGATTATGCAAGGCGTTCTAACATTTTTTTCGTATCATAATTACCCTTTTTGCGTACTCCCGCTCAAAATACCCGGGTACTTTGTATAGCATTTTTTTTTAACCGAGGATAATACCCATATTGGTTTCTGCATTACATATATAAGACCGTACAAAGTACCCCATACAAGATACCCGTCACCGATCAAGATACCCACGGGTAGACACCGGGTACTTTGGTCAGTGCACTACGCTACTTAATTAGGCAAAAACTTGTTTAATTGATAACTCCTGAAAAGATCATTACAAGGCGTTCTAACGTTTCACGTTATCACAATTACTTAATTAGTTAAAACCCGTTTAATTGATACTGTACTGTAACTCGTTCTAACATTTCGCATTAACACAATTACTTTAACTCCTGAAAAATCATACAAGCGTTCTAACGTTTCACAGTTTGTTTTTCCAAGATGATTACGCAAGACTAGGGTGTTCAGAATTATGCTTGCTAATGCTTTTTATGCTAATTACTTTTTTTAAAAAAAAAAAATTTAAATTACTACGCGTACTTTTCAAATTACTGTAATTAGCAAATATACATCATACTAGAATTTAGAAATCAGGATTTTAAATGCGTAAAATATATAATATTTTAATATTATCTATATGTTTTTATACTTTGAGTGAAGAGATCTCAATAATGATCTGGTTAAATATTTTAACCTATTTTAGAATTCTATTAATTTGTAAAATTCAAAAATAGTCAATTATTGAAAGTAAACAAAGAATTAGTAAGATTTCTTAATTTAAAATTTATAAAAATATATTATTGTTTTGTTGCTAACTCAAAGGTCTAATAGAATAATAGATGTTATATTAGAAAATTAATATTTAATATAAAATACAATATTATAAAAAATAAGGAATTTAAAAAAATTTTGTAAATTTTTGCATAATAAGTAATAATTTAACAACTACAAAAATTTGAAAAGTGCAGTAATCTTTTTAAATTCAAAATAAAATATATTTGATAATACTTTATAGAGGTGTGGCACTTAGTGAAGTTGGTAAGTTGTCACTCCTCCAAATGGCAGGTCTAGAGTTCAAATTCTACTAGCAATGATTTTGAAAAATAAGATTTGTTTGGTAACATTTATTTAACAATTAGTTGGGTATATCACTTGTAGCTTTAGTAACACCATCTTAAATGAGAGCTTTTGAGCAAAATTGTATAATATCATATAGATAAAACCAAGAAATTAAAATAACTAAATCCATTTGGTAAGTTCTAAAAAAAGAGGTAGTAGAGATATTTGACAATGTTGCAAAAGCTGAAATCTTAGAAATCAGAGACCAAATAACTAGATAAAATAATTCTAGGGTAAAAAGAGTTCACTAATCTGATCACCAGAATTACACTAAAAAAAAAATCTTATATTATAAAATTAGAAACTAAGAAAAGAAACCAGAAGTACTTAAAATTTAAATATACTGACTTTACTAGATTAACTGGTTTAAAAATTTAAGAAAATTAATATAAAAAAATAAATGTTAGTATTGAGATTAAAATAAACTTTGCAAAAGCAGAAAATACAAAAAATAATGTAGTTTAATGGTTAGCTCTAATTACTAATATTAGTTCCAATCATAGCAGATAGGTATCTTTGAACTTAATATAAAAATGCATAGGATATAGAAAGATTATAAGAGCATCTACTATACCCATCTATAAGAACCTTGAAGCAATCAACAAGATAACTAAGTTAATGTAAGATAGTAAGAGACACTTCAGTATAAAATATCAATTTTAAAATAATTGGTGAATATATATAATTAGAGAAGTTAAATAGGTAATTTTCAAATAAATTGCAGATATAGCAACTAGTATAGAAGCTTTGGGTAGACTACTTAAATTAGCAATTTAAAGTTGTATATATAGCTAAATTATATTCTTGTTGTAATACTAAAATATAAAACTATATATTCAATAACAAACATCAATAAAGTTTAGTTTTTTGTTTTTTTTTTAAGATGAGGTTATAAAGCTTAGTTTTAAAAATATCTTAATAATAATAATAATAGGGAGCTACTATTTCCACTATGATATTTTGCTATTTCTACTATATTACACAAAAATTACTATTTTTAGCACTTAATATACAGTATTATATATTATACTATATATAGTAATATAATAAAAATCAATTTTTTAAAATTTAAAGAAAATTTTAATAAGTAAATCTTTCTTGAGCTTCTAA